CTGGATTAATGAAGAATGAATGTCGATGAAACTGAGCAAAGTGCAGCGGTGATAGAATCTGATAAGTGCATCAGTATTGGATCCAGAACTGGCTTCATCATGCAACAATCCAACACCACACACCATCTCTTCAGCCCTGAAAGACTACTCTGACAGATGGAGCCCAAAGTCATGGACTACATGAGCTCAGTGGGCATTTTAGAGGGATTGCCCATAAACTAAGGGAATGATACCTGTGTGGCCAGCAGGTCAAGGGAGGTGATTCTCCTCCTCTGCTCTGCTCTTGTGAGACCCCACCTGGAGTGCTGTGTCCAGCTGTGGAGCCCTAAGCATAAGAAGGATATAGACTGGTTGGAATGAGTCCAGAGGAGGCTACAAAGATGCTCAGAAGGCTGGAGCACCTCTGCTATAGGGACAGGCTAAGAGAGTTGGGCTTCTTCAGCCTGGAGAAGAGAAGGCTCCGGGGAGATCTTATAGCACCTTCCAGTGCCTGAAGGGGCTACAGGAAAGCTGGGGCGGGGGTGTGTGTGTGTGTACTTTTTACAAGGGCCTGTAGTGACCGGACAAGGGGTAACGGGTTTAAACTGAAAGCAGGGAGATTTAGATGAGCTATCAGGAAAAAATTCTTCCTGGAGAGGGTGGTGAGACTGGCACAGGTTGCCCTGAGAAGCTGTGGATGTCCCATCCCTGGAAGTGTTCAAGGCCAGGCTGGATGAGGCTTTGAGCAACCTGGTCTAGTGGAAGGTGTCCCTGCCCATGGCAGGGGGGTTGGAACTAGATGGTCTTTAAGGTCCCTTCCAACCCAAACCATTCTGTGATTCTGTGATATCAAAAGACAGTAAAGGTGGTAGTGATTAATCAGAATATATTAGAAAGTGTAGGGCCTGGGAATGATGTAGATTGTAGAGAATGAGGTGGATATTGTTGTGGTTTCGGCTGGGATAGAGTTAATTTTCTCCCTAGTAGCTGATATAGTGCTGTGATTTGGATCTGGGATGTGAATAATGTTGATAACACACTGATGGCTTAGTTGTTGTTAAGCAGTGCTTACACCAAGTCAAGGAATTCTCAGCTTCCCATACTGCCCTGACAGCTAGGAGGCTGGGGGAGCACAAGAAGCTGGGAGGGAGCACAGCTGGGACAGCTGACTCCAACTGCCTAAAGGGATATTCCATACCATATGACACCATGATCAGTATATAAAGTAGGGGGAAAGCTGGCTGGAGGCTTCTGTTTCGGAAGTGCCCTGGCATCGGAGAGCAGGTGGTGAGCAATTGCATTGTGCATCACTTATTCTGTATAATTTTTTATCATTGTTATTCTCCCTTCCTTTTCTGTCTTATTAAATTGTCTCTATCTTAACTCATGAGTTTTGAGTCTTGCTTACCTTCAGCATATAAAATAGCATTTAGAAATGAAATTTCAGGCTTTTCCTCCCCCTACTCTCTCTTTCTCTCTCTCTGATAGAAACTCACAGTAATAGGCCCTGCCATCTGCTACTATATATTTTTCATGAGTTTTAACATTTTGTTTTTAGAACCTGAAAGATGAGTAAAATGTCAAGTCACCCAGAAAATAATCATAGGCATGACAACTCAAATGTTATCAGCTTGTCTGTACAAAAAGTGGTTCGCAGCAGGTCTGTGCCCTCCCTCTTTGCAGACAGAGCAGGCGAGCAGGTGCACCGTCGGTATTGGCCGATACATTTTCGAACACCACCCCAAGGCTTTAGCAGAAGAATTCCTGTTGATTTTAATGAGAGTAATGTGGCCAGAAAAACAATGGCATGGCTTTCAGTTTGTTCTGTAGAAGGTGAACTTCAGATTTCCTTGAGAGTTCTGTGTTATTTGGAGGATCTTGTTGTGACTGCTGGCCTAAATAAAATATAGCCACCAGGCAGTCACTGAGGCGAGAAGGTGGTAACTACACCAGTGAAATTAATTCCCAGTGCAAAAGTAAACTCTCTTGTGTTACCACAGAAATGTCATGGGCATTTTGCTAGCCTCCTCCCATTTGAAAGCCTGGGTTTGCGACCCTCCTGTCAGCCCTGTAGCTGCAGTGTCCCAGAGAGGTGCACCGTCTCCTTCCAGGTATGTTTCTCTGCTGTTTCCAGCTGCTCTTTGTTTTTCCTGGTCCGTTTTTCCATCATGTTGAGACTCAGCTGCAGCTGCCAAGCTGAGGAGGTGTTAGAAAGGTACAGGATAAGACCTTCAGCTCATAAAATGCTCACCGTTGTTAATTTGGAGGGAAAGAACTGTGCAGCCCATTCATGCCGCCTCGCTGTCAAGCTGCACTCAGGACCTCTTTCATTCAGCGGTACGTACTGTTAACATAAGAAGTGTATAGCCATATCATTTGCCTCCTACATTTTTAACTGTGCAAAGATGGAATTATTTCATTGAATAGGTTCCCAGCAGCTCAAGGATGGTTTTCATAATAAATCCTCAGCACATTTGCTACCTTTCATTAGAATAAGAAGTCTCCTTGGTGATCTTTGCACTCTCAGCCTGTGCAAAAGCCCTCGTTACAGCATTGCAAGGTTTTTCTCTTAATATTCCACTTCAGAACTCCCAAGCTTGTTTTCAATTATCTCTATTCTGTGCTTCATTTTACTCATTCCTTTAGAAAGTCTCTTGTTCGCAAGACATTTTTCAGGCTTTCCAGTGAAAGAAGATGATCTTTACCTTACTAATAGTGTTCTTTGAAACTGCCTGTGCTGTTGTTGCTGGAGCTACACTGCTTAAGGTGACAGTGGGAGAGGCAAGTTACTCCCACATCTGAGAGTACCTTAAGAAACAGGAGCCACAGAAAAGTGACAGTTCTTTCAGATTTAGCTTTGGGATTAATATATATTTAATGAATATGCTTAGGCACAGTGTTTTGGTCTGATGAAATGGTGAACAAGGCAAGTACTACTGATGACTCAGAACTGAAACCACTCATGTTTCATCAGCCACATCAGCAGAATTCAGTTTTGCAACCCTCCAGGACAGGGACAAATGACCTATTTGTTGCTCCTATTGCAATGGGTCAGCTCCCTCAAGCACCAGCTTCCCCGAGCCAGCCGAGCTACAGGCTTCGTGAGCTTGCTGGGACCTGAGGTGCAGGATAGTAGAGGGCTGGCGGGCAGTTGAGTTCCCACTTCAATCAGTCTACAGTCTCAGTGGGGCCAGGTCTCAGCTCTGAAAGGGAGCGTTGGGAGAGGCGGCCAGGGACAGATGCACCAGCATCTCTTACTGGGAATGGGCCTGCTGCCTTGGGCCACTCTGGAGGCTGGTGCACAGGGGAGCCACTGCTGTTGTCACCCTTTGCCTCGCTTTGTCACTGTAGTGTTGTAGGTATGATGGTGTAACAAGACAGACTTGGCAGACTTAGCAGGTGGAGACCCAGCTTTTATTGGAACCAACAAAGATGAGCCCTGAAAAGACCTGAAGAAGAGCTCGTATGCCGAGAGGTTTCTCTGATAAGGCCGATATCACCTCCATCTGTAAAATGGGTCATATTTTAAGGAACTGTAACTTGACTCTGCTGTACCTATATCTAAAGCTGGACTTGACTTCCATGCTAACATTTTGTTCTCATTGTTGCTTTGGTTAAAAAAATAGTGGTAGACTAATTGCTTACATAATGAAAATGCCCAAAGAAACTGTAATTAAAATTACTGGGTCCTATTTTTCAGGGCACCAAATTGTCATTGAATTTCGAGAGGGGAGAGCCTGCTAGACCTTTAAACCTTTGAACATCTCCAGTTATTTTAAGCCTTTTGTGCTTTTAAATACATTCCCCTTTTGTAACATGCTGAGTTACTCATTTCTGACAACAGTAATGCTTTTAATCACTTTATTGAAATCACTGTGCTATAATGTACGTTGACTTTGAAGACTCTTTGATGACCTTTGACGTATGAATATTTCCCTTTCTTTCAAAGGCACTGCATGAGCGCCTGTCTCCAAGCACGTGTGTGCTGTAGCTGGCCGTGCGCTTCTGACGTGCTGTGTTCAGTGTCACAGATCCCCTAAGAGTCTAACAAGTTCATAAATTACCAACTGTTGAGTGCTCAGCTGACGGCAGGCTGTTTGGAGGAATGTGCACTCCAAGTCTCATTTCTAGGAGGCTTTTTGCTCTTCCGTTTTGTTCTTGCTTTACAAAGTTTTATTTTGCATTGGAAAGTCAGATTTCTTTGTTACACCTGCAAAGCCGAGAGGGCGAACAACAGCCAAGTATGAAGAGTTTGGGCGATAACTCCTGAAAGTACCATGTAAATCTTGGGAGCGACCAGCCAAGAAGAGCATATTGAAATTGAAGAGTGAAGCTGTATCTGATGAATAATAGCTTTCCCCTTTCTTCCTGCATGCTGGTTTTTTGTTTGTACTGATTTAGTGCAAGTACATGTACACTGACAGCCAGCATGCTGGCTGGCTGAGACATGAGTCAGAATTGGGGGGAATTTAGGATTAAGTTCTTTAACGTGGAATAGGCTTCATATAGCTTCTTTCTGGAATTTTTTCTTTGTTGCCAGTAATTTTGAAACATGATTAATATGCTGTGTGCGTACTTGACCCAATCCAGAGAAACATAATTCTAACAGACACTGTTCATCCCAGTAAATGGAGCAGTGGTGAGGGGCACAAGAGATCTGAATTTCATTCCTGGCTGTGTCCCAGGTTTACAGAGGAATCTCATGGAAGTTCTTTTCTCTGGCTTGTGCCTCTGTTTTCCTATTTAATGATTCATCCTATTTAATGATTCAGGGAGTAAAACAATGTTTAATAGCTGGTCATCTTTATGATGAAAGCAATGTAGTTTGTATGCTGTCTTTAATCTTTAAATGGTAATGAAAATACCCATTACTTCTTTGTCATATAAATAGCAAAACCAATTGAAAGATACATGCCTGTAAAATTATTTATATAGTTATATTAAATTCCTGTGCTGATGGCATTTTCTACAGATATGTATATATGGTGGGATTTGTTGTTTGTTGTTTTTTTGTTTTCCAGGCCCTGCTTGACACTCAGAATCTTTTGAGAGCTCAGATTACAAATTTCACTTTCAACCTGGGATTTTCAGGGAAATTTTATCACACAGGTAAGAATGAAATACTAAAATCGTTTTCTCTTTGATGGTGTTCTTTGTAGTATGAGGAAAGTAGGAATGATAGATAGTAAGCATCTGAGTAGAGAGAAGAGTTTCCCTCATAATAGGATAACTAAACAAATCAAATTATTCATTCTTTCAGGTTGCTTTGAGACATATATTTGTGTGATTTGCCAAATTGGTTTTTTTCCCCTAAAGTTAACCAAATTAACCTTTTGTTTGAGCTGTAGTCTGTCTGTAGATAAACACCTCTTTGCAGCAACATTTCTCTCTTTTTTTTTTTAAAAAAAAAAGGTGCTCATTGTTTGCAGAATAGTGCAATAAGTAGAGCAATGATGTGGACATAGGAGAGCCAGCCTGTAGTTTCTAAGAGAAAAACTAAGCCCTTCAGAAAAGTGTCCCGTCAGACTATTCAGTTTCCTGAATAAGGAGTGTTGCTATTCCTCCTCCTGCAAGCTGGGACATGCAGAAATGGCAGTCACAGGGCCAGGAGGAGACCTTGCAAGAGGCAGTCCAGGCTTGGGATGACAGCTTTCTCTAGGGGTTATATGTGTTACGTATGTGCCATTGGATAACGTAAAATCAGTCCTGAGGGGGAAGAAAAACATCTCTTTCCATTTCTTGATGATTTCAGTCCATTTCAGCTAGCTCAGATGCTCACTACAGAACCTCTCTCAGGAAATGGAGAGAGGAAGGCATGTAGAATAGTTGAACTGGATTTTTCTCTCCATCCGTTTCCTGAGCACGTGGAGAATTTAGGTGGTAATTTTAGGTGGGCTGGAACATCTCAGGACGAGGCACCTGTAATTCTAGTAAACTGTGGTGCCTGCATTAGGCACCAGTGTGGAACAGATTGAATTCATCCTCCCCTTTTATTAAAATTCAGTTCCTTTCAGCCTGTTGTTGGGTGGTAAATTCCACCGATCTCATGACATTTTCTATTGAATTCATTGAGAGATCTGTTGAGCTGCCACAGATTATCCTTTTGGATAGGTTAATCTCTTTTGTAGAGATATAGCAATACATATTACCCATTTAAATAATTTTACACTTAAACCACTGTAGAAATAGGGAGAAATAAACGATGAGGTACTAAGTGGGATGTACCTCAGTACAGAGAAGAAAGAAGGTGCTTTCCTGACAAACAGTAAATAGGGAGAAATAAACGATGAGGTACTAAGTGGGATGTGATAGAGAAGAAAGAAGGTGCTTTCCTGACAAACAGTAAGAAAAAGACACGCATGCAGAATAGGACAGCATCAGAGCCTGGAAGAGAGAGGGACAAAAGGCAACACAAGATGATGTCACAGTTTAAGGATATTAATATAAAAGAGGGAAGCAAAGCGACACGTTAGCTGAGACTAGGAACCAAAACCAGATTTGCTCAGAACCAAAGAAGAGTTTGAATATGCTCGACTGCTGTGCACGTTACATAGCCAAGAGATGAGCACAGCTCTTCTTGTGCTTAGCTGTGCACCTTACTCACTACTGCTTGTCACACTGAGAAGAGGCAGGGAAGGAAGCCTGTTTTTTAGAGCTGAACAGCTGGAGTGGAAAGCAGCTGGGGCTACATGGTCCCTCCACAGATCTCTCTTGGGCTCAGCAAACTTCAACTAGACTTGGTGAATGTCCAAGGATTGACCCTGCAATCCAGGTGTCATCTGCACTGTTTAGAAAAATTAGAAATGCTTTAACTTTTTCACATTCAGGATGTCACTTGTTCCATCCATTCCCATCCCTTCCTACCCTTTCTTTTGCCTAGAATGGCCCGGCAAAATGGTCCTGACTGCCACATTTGTCACCTGCCAGTGTCTCAGACCTTTTCTTTTGCCTCAGTTGAAAGTTCAGATGCTTTGGAGGGAACATGTGCATGGATTTCTGGTTTTGGCTGAGTAGGATTTGGCAAGGGTATTGCATGTTTGTAGTATGAAGTGACCCAGTTACTGGCTGTAAACTGAATGAGTTGAGCCTGTCTCCGTTACAGCCCATATCTTGCTGTGGTTTTCTTCCTTTCTTCATATGCGTTCATCTGCATGATCTGGCTATCGTATGACCTTTAGGCACTGCTGTCACTTTGTTTGATAGCATGTGAACATCACACAGGGCCCCATGGACTCACGTGGAGTCCTGAAATGTAGTGATCCTACAAGTATTGACACATCATGACATATGTCTGCCCACATTTTTCATTCACTGCTGTAATTCCCTCAGAGGTAATGAGGAATAAAACCACAACAGTGAAGGTATGTCAGACAAGGTTTGCTGGAGGAAAGAGGAAAAAGCAAAAGGCATATAGGGTTAGTGAGAGTATGGATGCAGAAAGCATCAGAGCTGAATGTTTGGCTAAAAGACTGAAAAAGGTAGATGTTGCAAAATGCTAAGAGAAAAAAGGTTTGTCAAGTTGTGTTGATTGTTGGTGGGAGTAGGAACAATGAGAAAAGCAGGAACAGGCACAGCATGAAGACGCGTTAAGCTATAGGTTGTCAAAGTTCAGTTCATACAGTCTTTATACCGCAGCCCATTTAGGGGTTATTTAAATTTGGCTGCCTTTGACAGGGCTTGTCTGTCATTGAAAGTGCACTGGGAGTAGGATAGATGTTTGGGTGAGGGGAATGTCCTGATCTGCCAGCTAATTAGACCTTGACACTTCCCACTGCAGAGATGCTGTCAGATACGCAGCTGAATCTGTGCGAGTAGGTTATGCAGAGCTGAGGCTCAGGACAGAGCACCGAGAGTGGGTTGTCATTGCCCTCAGATTACACGAGGCCTTTGGAGTGCTTGGGGTCCCAGCAGCCCTCACTGCCTGCACCCGGGGGACAGGGGCCTGTTCCAGTGGGTAGCTGGGGTGCTGCGGCTTCTCTCGCAGGCTGGGAGGATTTACAAGCGTCAAAGCGGCCAGCTGGCTCACGGTCAGAGGACAGGCCCCACCACCGGCCTAGTTACTGCTGTAGCAGCAGCACGAGAGGTGTGGGCTATAAAATGCTGCCCGAGAGGTTCCCCTTCCTCAGCACCACAGTTAGAAATGGCTGCAGGGCCTGTTCTCCGCAACGCATCCTTAGGAACAGGTAGGAGAGCATCTGAAAGGACAGGCCTGAGGCCTGAGGAATAACTCGGGAATAGCTCCAGCCACTCTGTTTCAAAGATGCGGATTTCTGGGAACTCCTGTGTGATCAGAAAGGTAAAAATTAACAGGCAAGAGAATAATTCTACTATACATAGAGTTTGAAAAGGCTGATGGAAAAAATACTTCCACATATCATAAGTAACAAAGGGAAAAGAAGTTGGATTGAGGAGTAAATTTAGTTTGGCTAAGGAATGCCAGAAAAGAGTTGTCAACATTTTCACTGATACTCTGTATTAAACTGTCTCATATACAATTTTGCCGATTCCATCTCTTAGCCACTGATGTTACTGATACAGCACAGGCATGTGAGGACAGTATTGTACCGTGCATTCAAGATGCCATGAAGATGGGGCTCTCAGTTTTTCACTTGGCTATAATTACTTCAGGAAAAGGAATATGTACTTGGAAACATTTAAAATAGTCTGTACTTTAAATGGTCACATTTTATTATGCTAATTTCTTCCTTCTATTTTCAAACATTTGTAAGAATTGAATAGAAATAGGAATGCAATAGAAGTAGGGGCTTTACTTCAGGGTTTTTTTTTTTCTCCTATAGGCACCGAGGAGGAAGATGAAGGTGATGACCTGCTGTTGAGATCCGTGGATGAGTTTTGGTGGTTCCCCCATATGTGGAGTCACATGCAGCCTCACCTATTCCACAATGAGTCGTCACTGGTGGAACAGATGATCCTCAACAAAAAATTTGCCTTAGTGAGTTACATTTTTGCATTTTATATTTAATTTAGGCATTCAGAAACAATTATTCCTAGTTTGCTGGAAAATCAATCCTTGTAGAATTTGGTTTAATCTCAATAAATTGAAAATGCAAAAAAAGAGTGAGTTGCTTTTTGCAATTACTCTGTTTTGTGCTATGAAAATTCTGTTTCTCTACAGTCTGGATTTCCTTCTCAATTAAAGTTTGATTTTTTGGCATTACTTCATGAAAAATTCTGAATGGAAAAATTCTTTCAGTATGAAGAATTCATGTGTTCCTATCTTGGAAGGTCAATGTAGGTGAAAAATTCTTCTATTTCAGTATTTTACTAAACAAAATTTTGCCCAAATAACCCATGTTTACATGGTTTTAAAAAATCCAGTTTTATGAAAGAGTAAATACTCCATCAAAGCATGTCACATGATTTTATGAAAACACTGCATGGTAAGATTAATTAAGTGTGTCACATTTTTGAAGATGCTCTTTTGCAGGGATACCTAATAATGTCTTATATATTCCCTTTGGATCAGCTTTAGAAAAACTTGTTTTGAAAAGCATTGCCTTTGCTAATTATTTATTCACAGTAAAAGTCTAAAAAGGATGTTTCAGTGAGAATATAAGAAAAAGTAAACCAGATCTTCAGATTTGAGGATAGTAGAGAAACAGACTTACCTTTTCCCTAAAACCAAACCAAACTGCCATACATAGCACATATTATTTGTATGTAGAAATGGTCCAATGTAAGGACATAAAGAAGTGTTATATCGCAATATTTCAGCAAACATAACCTGTTTGCTGAAATACATCTCTTCCAACAGCCTAATTTTAGTTCTACCTTTTCAGAATACACTGGTTGCTCTTTAGCTGGCAGGTAATGGCTTTGTTCCTTGAAAGAGCACAGGGATTTTAAATGCTAGAATGAAA